TTTTTTTTTTTTTTTTTGGTGTCTTATTATTTAAATCCAACATCATACTTTTCGTCTAGCCATGTAAATCCACTTCAGTCAAGATGAGTAATACATGATGATGATGTTGATCTGACACCTCATTGACCCATTGCTTCTGACGACTTTCTCCCACTGCTGCTTTTCCCACAAATGACAGATTCCCAGAGCTGCTGGAATGTAAATGGCTCCATGGCACCTCGATGAGGTTTTTTTTTTTTTTTTTTGGTGTCTTATTATTTAAATCCAACATCATACTTTTCGTCTAGCCATGTAAATCCACTTCAGTCAAGATGAGTAATACATGATGATGATGTTGATCTGACACCTCATTGACCCATTGCTTCTGACGACTTTCTCCCACTGCTGCTTTTCCCACAAATGACAGATTCCCAGAGCTGCTGGAATGTAAATGGCTCCATGGAACCTCGATGAGGTTGTTGACCATATTTGGTCAATGATGTCACCCAGGTTCCCCTGGAACCTGTCATTTGCAATGAGAGTAGGGGTGGGGCAGCGTAATCATGGCGGGGGTCTACATTGTCGGGAGTTACTCACCGTGATTGATATGAATCTGCATCGCTGGACAATGTAATTGATGTTGAATTTACAATGGCGCGGAGGAGGCTGGGGTTACTGGATATGGTCACAACCACCCAGGATGTCTGGCCTGTTTATTTACAAGAAAGTCCAGAGGGGATCTGTCATTTAGAGGCGACAGTGCTACTGCACCCAAATGATGCATTACTTGGTTTGTTGACAAACTCAAGAAGGCAGTGATCTGCAACTTCACATGCAAATTTAAAGCATCCTCAAACAATGTTATTAAGGGATTTTTTTTAATGTTGCTCTTTAAAAGACTCCCTCTCCGTTGAAGAGTATTTAAAACAAAATTATTTAGCATTGTGGTCCATGGAACAACTCTTTCGGTTTATTCTGTTGATGTCGGCTTAACATGTAGGTGTTCGCACGTTAGCCTGCAGTCCAGAACAGGAGCGAGCATGCAACAACGCTGCTCCTACATGGATGTACAGTAAGTGAACAGGAAGGATATGAAGTGTGCTACTGATAGGAATACCAGGTAAAAAGAAGCTGAAAAGTATTATTAAAACTA